TCCTAGGTATGTTCCTCTAGACCTCCAGTTTTAACAGCATCTGCTTTTCAATTTGAATAATAGTACATAACAATATTGCAAGTAAACACAGTATCCCTCCCTCCCTAAGAACGTATTTCGTTCCTCTGGAAAGTAAGTGTGTTCTTCTCTCCTTGGAGCGCACTGCAGCTTTTACAAATACTTGTATCAAAAAAAGAACATTTCTACTTTTTAAAGCCTGCTGCCCAATTAACAGGGGGCAACTTTGTTTTATTCCAGCTATCGTTCAAACAGCTCCTAACTGTTCAGTGGTTATTAAACAAGGCAGTTCTAAATCACAGTATGATCTTCCTCCCTCCCCCCGAAAGGTAGGTATTTGGCTTTTTCAGACAGAAAAATATCCAGGGTTTTTTTTTTAATGGAGAAGACAAGGGGATTCGTGACGGACGTGACACACATACACACACACATACACGCACAGAGGGACAGAGACAGACCGACAGACAGAGAGGCAGGTAGACAAGACAGACAGATAGACAGTCTCTCTCCCTCTCCCTCTCCCTCTCTCTCCCTCCCTCTCCTTCGTCTCTAAAGGCAAAGGCGCTCACCTCCCCGGCAGAGGCGGCCGCTCAGCCACCACGCGACGGAGACGCAGCCGGAGCGGTTTCTGCGCGGCTCGCGCCGCTCTACGCCCTTCGCGCGGCCAACCGCGGCGCCTGGGACCTGGCCTTCCGCAGGGGAGGAGGGACGCGCGCGGTCCCTTAGCAACGGCCCCAGCCACGGGGTCCACAAGGGAAGAGGGATTGGCAGGCCGTTTAAAAAAAAAAAAGCGGGGTATCTGCCATGGACGACCTTGCTGATCTCTGAAGCTAAGCAAAGTTGGTCTGGGTTAATTGCTGGAGGGGAGACCTCTGGAAAAATCTGAGGCTCTCGGCTGGGATCGTCATCCTCTTGGAAGAAAGCAGTACCAAACGACTTCTTCCACTTCTTCCACGGGTGCAATTTCCTCTCCTACCAGTACAGTCCGGCTTGCAGGCTTGTTTAATTTTACATTGGGTGTGATGAGATAAACGCCCCCCCACACACACACACACACACACTAGAACAAGGAATGGGAGCAGAGAAAAGGCCTCTGCCCTCCACTGCCAGTTTATACACCTGAGTCTAGAGACTGAGTGGGACTACACCTTTGGGGTGCACAAGCCCTAATGGCAGCTGCAGGAGTGAGAACCTAGAGAGCTTCAATTTAGTCAACCTGTTTTAATAATCTGAAATAGTAGATTTGCTGGATGAGCCTTATCCTCTCACTTACCCCCATAAAACAAATTGGAGAAAAAATGTCATCTGGTTTGACCAAACTTCATTTTTCTTGTCCTATATTCCTTATGTAACCAGAACATATATAGGTAATCCTTGACTAACAACCCTTTGTTTAATGACTATTCAAAGCAGAGGTGGTATTGTGGAAAGGGAACTTCATGAGGATAGTGGTGACACCCAAGCAGGAAAAGCCCAAAGGGAACATCAGGCCAGCCATAAAACAAACTTGCATAGGAAAAGAGATTTAATAAAAGGTATTGAAAGAAGCCCCCTAGACAAAAGCCAAGTAATTAAGAAAGCTAGGGAAACAAGAAAAAGAAATCCCTTACAAACAACAGGTCATGCCAAATCAGCGAAACAAATAGACACAAAATATATTGCAAAGGAGACAGACAGGAGATTTCCACAAAACAAATGTAAGAAAACATTAGGACGAAACTGATAATCCAATCAAACCACCCCGCGGAGTTTACCCTCCTCCAGAAATGAAGACAACCCCTGACAGGATTTAAAACATTAAGAAATACAAACACAAATACAAACACAAAGGGAGAAAAAAAGTATAAAAATCAGGGGTTTATTATACAAAGCTAGCTAGCCCCAGGAATGCAGACTTTGCAGTGATTTACTGAAGAACTGCGGCAAGAAAACATGTCAAATGAATGTTGGACGTGTAAAAATAAAGAAGGGATTTTTTAAATTGTTTATGGTGGACACGTGATCAAACAAAAACAAATGGGAGTATGATTCGTATTTTATGACAGAAAATTCTGAAAACAGAGATAAAAATGAAACCAGAATTTTTCCTTTGGGGTCTTGTGGGAAAAGAACTGGAGAACAAATTTGGAACTTTGTTACTATATATATTGACAGCAGCAAGACTACTGTATGTGCAAAAATGGAAGGACACTTCGATTCCTAACATGGAAGAATGGTTGCGGAAGTTGATGGAGTTGGCGGAAAAGGCAAAAATGACTACTTTGACTAAAGAAAAGAATGTAAATACTTTCATTTCCACATGAAAACCGCTTCTGAACTTCATGCTTGATGTGGAAAAGAATGTAACTCTTGACTTTGGGTTTTACAGATTAGATTGATATCTTTATAGAAATGACTTGTTTATACTATTGTGGAAAAGCAAAGAGCTGTGATTTGATGTTAATGCCTTATTTTACTGTAACAGAGAGAGTCGTAAGTCAATGCTTCTTTTTCTTTTCTTTTTTCCCTATCTTTCCTCACTTCATTTCCCCCTTTTCCCTCACCTCTTCTACCATTCTTCTATTTACTTTTGTATTTTGTATTTTATAATACTCTATAACTTAATAAAAAAAATTGAGAAAAAGAACTGTGGCAAGAAAGGTCATAAAATGCAGCAAAAGTCACTTAACCGCTGTCTTGCTTAGCAACTGAAAATTTGGGCTCGATTGTTGTTTGTAAGTGGAGGACTACCAATATCATGTTACTAACTGAGAAAGTGTAATGTATCAAAAAGCCTTCCTGCTGTTATGGTTTATTAGTAAAGGAGGATACAACAATGATAACAAACTCTAAAAGATCACTCACTAACTAGTGAATGTTAGGTTCTGTGATGCAATAAAGAGTATGAATCTGAACATCAAAGCTTCAAAGACCGAACTGTTGGCTTTGACAGGAAAAATGCAGCGAAAGATTTCGAGTTATGCATAAATAAGGGGGAAATAGAGTATGGAAATGAATTTGATACTAAAAATGGGGAAATGGAAACCAAACTGTTAAGTTGCACAAAGCCTGGAAGGATGTGGTATCATGTGCCTGTACGTGGAAGAACTCTTTGTCAAAAGAAGTTAAAAAGCTATACATAAGAATGTGTTTCTCAAAAATTTGTTTTATGAAAATGAAAACTAGGTATGCCAGAACAAAAACAAAAATCAGCTGAATTATGTAAAACCTACAAACAGCCTGTGATGAAGATCTAATTAAAGTCTTAGATGCACTAAAGAAAATACTTGCTGCCCAATGTGCTCTGCACAGGATCTAATGATGATGAAGGTGCACTCAAGAACAGAAATTGATCCTCTGGTACCATAACCATGTTGAAGTAAAACAGAATAGACTACAAATTATCATGATCATTATCATGATCATCATTATCACGAATATCAATGAACTACTAATAAGGGAAACTGAAAATAGTGCAGAAAATTAAATGGATCATGTAGATAGAAAACCTTTCCTCTAAGCATCCCCCCAAATCTTTACCCAGTCCTTTCAGACTTCTGTTGCTTTGGTTTTGTTTTTGCATTTTTTAAGAAAGCATCCAGTTTAAATATAATTCACT